TTATAGGCGATTTCAGATTGAGAACCATAGATATGGGGTACATAGAAGCGGCAAAAAGATATTATTAATCCGAATACAGGAAAAAGAGGCTAAAACAGCACCTGGACATGGATGGCTGGTGCCTCTATAAATAAATCATTGATGGTCTGGTCTGGTCTATCCAAGCCTTGAAGATGTTGTGACACCCCATCCCACCTACCACCTCCTCCCTGCACCTCCTGTTTTCATAGGCACGCCATTTCCGTCTCTGCTCCATTTACTTGTCCCATATTAATGATGTTCGAGTGCAAAATATGTTAGAGCACAGTTTCTTTAAGGTATATTCTACTTTTTCTGTCGCCGTTGATCCCGCTATTAGTGCATACATTGTTACTCATGTTGTTGCTGTTGTTGTTACTTTTGTTGTGTTGTACAATCAAACATGTTCAAGACGTTTATACCCATAGTCGAAAAGAAGCGTGGTCATCTCAGACCAGTGATTCTCTTAAACTGTCGTTATAATCTTATACATGTACATAAAATACAAACAGGGGAATGGGAAGTGGTCGTTTATACCGGTGATTGCCATAAATCACTTTGCCGCCTCATCTCGCCGATTGGCGATGTTTACCACCCAGTTTCTTTGGATTTCCCCCAAAATATGATGGCAAAGTGTAAATGGTTGTTAGAGCAGGTTCGAATGTCATTTTTATATATCAATTAATCTCCCGAACCTCCGATTACACAATTGTTGAATTCAACTCAGTCCGACGTTGTGTCCATGGGAAAGGCACGACTTGAAACGAATTTCCTATTTGCCTCGGTTTTTTCGGAGAGGATGTTAAACTCGGAAGTCCTTGTCGCACCTTGTCCACAGTGTTGGGGTCACTACAGTCGGAACATGTCCATCTCCCTCCTCCCTCTTCGGGATCCACCCCAGAGTCTGTCAGCTTATAGTCTCCATCATAATCTGGTAGGAGATCCGTCGGACTGGTCCGCACAAGTGGCTGTGTTTCCCTTCTAATTCTTTGGATCCCCTTCTCCTTCAATCTACCTAGGGTGTGGGAACCGCTATCTGCTAAACCTATACAACATGTAACACGTACAATTGTTGAATTTTCCTCAGAATGCCCGTCCCTTGAAGGCACCGACTTGGAGCTGTCCACTACAAACAGGACCTCTGGAACAACGGTCCAGCTCAGCTGTGACGACTTCGGACATCGACCGTCTGGAGACATCAACACGCTGATTTGTCTCAACACAGGCAACTGGAGCAACACGGTGCCAGAATGTGAATGTAAGTATGGAGATTGTTTTTTCTCTTTTTTTTTATTGGTGGTGGTTTGGGGTGGGGTGGGGGGGGCTTCTTTGTTATTTGTTTCTGTTGTTTATAATTTTTTTAGGGGGTGGGGTGATTTTTTTTAAAATGTAGGTGTGATTTTTTTTTCTCTCCCCAATCGACATAATTACAATTTAGAAAATTAAGGCGGCAGGCTCCGATCCTGCCAGTCAGGGACAATCTGAGCTAAGATGTGAATGGGAGTCTCGAGTTTGCATTAAAAAAGTATGGAAATCTATGCAAGACAGAGTGCAGTGGAGGTCCATGATTGCCCACACCAGTCGGCAAGGCACCGGATGATGATGAAATCTCTGTGTTTTTATGCCCCCATCGACACAATTTAGATAATCTAGGAGGCGGGCTTCGGCTCTGCCAGCTCGGGTTGACAGGAATAAAACATCCCCGCAGAAATACCGAGACACTTCTTTCTCTCTTTCCTGATTATTGGGATAGGTGTGCCTGCTTCATGCAAATAAAGGTGGGATTTATTTTCATAAAATACGAATTAAAATGAAAAAAGAATAACTTATAAATACTAAAAATAATGTGTATGAGCAAAGAAGGAAGAAACAGAAGGGGTGTCACTGTTAATGTTTTCATGCGTTTGATTGCGTGCGTGTGTTTGTGTGTGTCTGAAATGGAGAAAGAGAGAGAGATAGATTAAATAGATAGATAGATAGATAAATAGATAGAGAGAAAGAGAGAGAGAGAGAGAGAGAGAGAGAGAGAGAGAGAGAGAGAGAGGGAGGGGGGAGAGAAAGAGAGAAGGAGATAGTCGGGAGGCAGACAAAGAAAAAAGGAACAAGCAGACAAGTAGACGCTAAGAGAAACAAGAGCCCAATTCTCTTGACATCTAAGGTTGTACGTGAACTAGAATCTAACAATCGTACACAATAAGCAAAAATACGGTGGAAAAACATTTTGATTTGTTTAAATCCCACATTTCCCTAAAAAAGCACATTCGAAAGAAGTCTAAATTCGAATCGAAAGAGGAATTAAATACAAAAATGCAACTGGCAAACAGAAAGGCGTAAAAAATAAGGTCAGGCAGATTTTGAATTTTGGCTGTCAGATTTTATACCCACGCAAAAGCTTGCATCTGCTTCGCCTGTCATTTCCTTATTATCGGCGAAAAGCTTTGCTCAAAAACCCAAACCGAGCTCTGGATAAAAATTCATTTCACAATCTCTTAAAGGCAGGATGTCTCCAGACTATTAAAAAACAAAAAGACCTTGTTAGAATCAAGTGATTATGGAGAGTTACACATTTTCTTACTATCTATTTCTTTTCTTTGTCCTATTTATATTTTCCATTTATTCATTCATGGGTTGTTGTTGTTGTTGTTGTTGTTGTTGTTGTTGTTGTTGTTGTTGTTGTTGTTGTTGTTTGCTTACTTTTTCGTCTCTTTTCCTTTTTACACACTGACGTGTCGAATGCTACAAAGCACACAACCGTACAACGGGTTTCGCCAATAATACATTTTTGATGATATTATGAAGCTGCTTTGCCAGACATCTTGTATTTTTCTAGAAGTTTTGTACAACGGAATCAAACTCAAAAATAAGATCAGCTCAGAGAGACGGTAGTCATGGCGATAAGGGGGGCATCAATTAAGAATAGTGCCAGGATTTCCATGACATGTCGTCTCCTTGGGTTTTTTAACTTCCTTTTTTTCTTCTTTTTTTTTGGGGGGGGGGGTGCAGTTACAGCTTTACGGTTCTGGTTATAAATTTATTTTTTCTTGCTACTATCTACTAGTTTTCAGTACACTCAGACGCTTTAGTGTGGGATATTAATCATGCAAAATGGCAAAGGCTGCTGCTGATATTAAACAAAATAGCATCAATTAACGTCGTAAATGGATATCATCACCATCTACAATGTGTGTATGCAGTTCTGTTTTTATGTGTGCATGTGTGTGTGCGTGTGTGTGTATGTGTGTGTATGTGTGTGTTTGTGAGTTTGCATCCATCTCTCTTTCTATCCCTCTCTTACTCTTTGTTCTCTCTCACTCTCTCTCTTTCTCTCTCTCTCTCCCTCTCTCTCTCTCTGTCTATCTCTCTATCTATCTCTTTCTTTTTATTCTTTCTCAAGCTACCAATGAGTCCTCCTCACTCTTCATTCTCAATCTCTCTTCATTCCCAGCACCCAGATTTCGAGGCGGAGGAGATCCCCATCGACGCCTATGTTGTTGTGTTCTCTGTCTCGGACACACAGTCCTACAACCAGGCCGTCAAAAGCCTGAAGACCTTGAGGGAAGTCCACGGAACCAACAAGGCTGTCATCCTAGTGGGGAACAAGATCGACATAGCCAGGGGAAGACGGGTCACAAAACACGGTGTGTGAGCCACACGGCCAGTTTTTTAAATTATTATTTTGTTTTAAATT